GAGAGAGTGAGAAAAGAGCAGAGAGAGAGTAGAGAGAGAGAGAGAGAGAGAGAGAGAGAGAAGAGAAGAGCATGAGAGAGAGAGAGATGAGAAGAGACAGAGAGAGAGAGAGCGAGGGAGGCCAGAGAGAGAGAGAGAGAGAGAGAAATTGAGACCTACCTCCCTTTCTCCCTTCGTCTCTGTCACCCCCCCCCTCCCCCCCCCCCTTCAGAGATGGCGCCACCAGCCCTGTAAAACACAGCTGTCTGATAGCTCTCGTATTCCTAAAATTCTGAAGCTTATCAACGAATATATCATATTTTTGTAAAGCAGTGACGCTGTATAAGGACACAAAGATTGTAACAATACAATCAAAACATTATTATATCAGTGATCTGGCGTTTTATTACGGTGTAGATGAGGCGGGTTGCAGGCCACTAGTCCAGCTGTGCTCCGGGTATGTTCTAGGGGCAGCTGGGGCATCGCGAGGCCTTAGCCACGTCACGGGTTGTTGATGGACGCTTTTTCTCTCTTTCTTTCTTTCTTTCCTTATTTTCTTTTATTTCCTTTTTTTCTTTATTCTTTTCTATCTTTCTTATTTTCTTTCTTTCATTCATTCATTCATTCTTTCAATCATTAATCTTTCTTTCTTTCTTATTTTCTTTTTCTTTCTTTTCTTTATTTCTTTTTTCTTTTTTTTCTTTCTTTTTTGTTTTTCTTTCTTTCTTTTTATTTTTCTTATTTCTTTTTTCTTTCTTATTTTCTTTTTTCTTTCTTTCTTTCTTTCTTAATTTCTTTCTTTCTTTTTTCTTTCTTTTTTTCTTTCCAATTTTCTTTCTTATTTTCTCTTTCTCTTCCTCTCTTTCTTATTTCTTTTTCTTTTTTCTTTTTTTCTTTTTATTTTCTCTTCTTATTTTCTTTCTTTCTTATTTTCTTTCTTTCTTATTTTCTTTCTTTCTTTTCTTCTTATTTTCTTTCTTTCTTCTCTTTCTCTTCTTTCTTTCTCTTTCTTATTTTCTTTCTTTTCTTTCTTATTTTCTTATTCTTTTTCTTTTACTTTCTTTATTTTCTTTCTTTTCTTTCTTACTTTCTTTCTTTCTTTTTCCCTCTCTTTCTCCCTTTCTCTCTTTCTTATTTTCTTTCTTTCTTTATTTTCTTTCTTGTTTCCTTTTTGTTCTTTCTTCTCTCTTATTTTTTTTTCTTTCTTCCTTTTTTTCTTTTCTTCTTCTCTATTTCTTTCTTTTTCTTTCCTCTCTTTTTCTTTCTTATTTTCTTCTTTCTTATTTCTTTCTTTCTTCCCTTTCTTCTCTTACTTTCTCTCTTTTTGTGCTTTCTCTCTTTCTGATTTTCTTTCTTTCTTCTCTTCTTTCTCTCTTATTTTCTTTCTTTCTTTTTCCTTTCTTTTTTCTTTCTTTCTTTCTTTTTTCAACCAAAACTCTACTACAGTGGCAAGTACTCACTCTTAAACCAAATCAGCTGATAACATTTCCTTCCAAATGTCAAAGTTCGTTTCTTTGACACGTGATTCATAATTCAACAAGTTCAGAACATGTTAAATGCGTTAATGTTGTCTTCATTTGTCTTTTTCTTCGTGTGTCTCTGTATGTGTTTGTTTGGTGTATGACTGATGTTTGTGTGTGTACTGTCTTGATGAAGTTGTGGTTGCTGATGGTGAGAGAGAGAGCCGATTCGACGAGTGAGAGAGTGGGGGAGAGAGATATCATGAGAGAGAGAGAGAGAGGAGAGAGAGAGAGAGAGAGAGAGAGAGAGAGAGAGAAATAAATAAAGAAAGAGAGAGAGACAAAAGTGAGAACAAGAGCGATATAGAATAGATAGATAGATTAGAGAAAAAAAAGATATAGATAGATAGATAGATAGATGAGAGAGACAGACAGAGCAGATTGGAGAACAGAAGAAATGCCGATATGCAATTATTTGGATGGCATGTTCAGAGGGGGATAACACATTATGTGACGTAGGGTCGGCGACTTTGTACGAAATTACCCGAAACGGATCTCTATAATTTGATTCCAAAGCTTCATCTTGCCTTAATTATCTTTCTTAATTAATATCTATTTTAAAAAATGAAAAAATGACACTTCTGCCGGAGTGTTTTAGCGATCAAAAATAGTATAAACAGAAGCAAAAAAAAAAATCTCAGGCAGAGACGAAGGGAAATGCAGACAACAACGAATCCAAAAATGCGCACAACAACAACAACAACAACAACAACGCCACGTGGAGAAGCTCACGCGGAAAAAGGAAGAGGAAGGAATGCAAGAAGAACGAAAGAGAAATGAGAGAAAAAGAAAGTATTAGATGAGACGATCGAGAACAGCAGACAGGCGAGAGGATGGATTTAGTGAGGATGAAAGAAGGAAGACATAAGGAGGAAGAGACAACATAATTCCTCCTCATCAGTTTTTCCTTTTTCCTTTTTCTTCTTGTCCTCTTTCGTCTCTTTTTCTCCTTTTCTCCTTTTTCCATCCGTTTTTCCTTCTCCTTGTTCTCCTATCTCGTCCTCCTCGTCTCTTTTTCTTCCTTTTCTCCTTTCTCCTCCTCCTCCTCTTCCACCACCACCACCACCCCCCCCGACCCTACTCCTCCTCTTCCCACCTCTCTTCTTCCTCCTCCTCCTCCCCTCGACTCTTCCCCTTCCCTTTCCCCTCCTCCTATTACCCCCTCCCCTCCTCCGCTTACTCTCTCCTCTATTCTCTCCTCTCCACCCTCCTGCTCCTTCTCTCCTCCTCCTCCTCCTCCTTCTCCTCCCTTCCTCCTCCTAGTTCTTACTCTCCTCTTTCTCTTCCCACCTCCTCCATCCTCCTACCCCCTCTTACCTCCTCTCCTCCTCATTCTCTCTTTCCTCCCTTACCGAAGGATCGAAGCTTTCCCTTCCTAAAGCACGCGGAGGAAGGAGAGAGATTCCTCCGTCAAGGAATCGCTCCTTTATACTCAGGAAGACAAGGAAGGAGGTGGGGAAGGTGGCGGTGGCGGATGAGGGGGAGGAGGAAGGAAGGAGGAGGGTGATAGTAGAGAAGGAGGAGGAACGATGAGTGGGAGGAGGAGGAAGGTGGTTATAATGGAAGGAAGGAGGAGGAAGGAAGAAGAAGAGAGAAGGGGGGAGGAAAGAGAGAGTGATAGTAGGGGGAGGAAGAAAAAAAAGAGCAGAGAAGGAGGAGAAGAGAAGAAGGAACGAAGAATGCACGAGGAAGGGATGCAGGAGGAGGAGGAGGAAGGAGCGAGGTGTGAGGAGGAGAAGGTGTGATAGTGGAGGAGGGAGGAGGAGAGAGAGAGCAGAGGTGATGGAGTGAGAGAGGAAGGCAGAGAAAGAAAGGATAGTGATATATAGGAAGAGGAGGATGAGAAGAAGGAAGACGAGGTGGGGAAGGAGAAGGAGAAAGACGAGGGTGAGAGGAAAAGGACGAAGAAGAGAGAGAGAGAAAGTGATAGTGGAGGAGGCAGAAGAGGCGAGTGGAGGAGAAGGGAGAGAGGAGGAAGAGGAGGAGGAGGAGAGCGAGGTGGAGAGCGAGAGAAAAAGGTAAGATAGTGGAAGAAGAGGAGAAGGAAGACAACGGTATGTAGAGGAGGAGATGGGAGTTGCAAGAAGAGGAGGAGAAGGAAGAGAGAGAAAAAGATGAAGTGACAAAAACAGAGAGAAAAAATAGACAGTGGCAAGAGACAGAGAGACACAGAAATGATAAAATCAATTACAGGGATAAAGACACAGATTAAGGGAGAATGAGAGACAAAGACAAACAGACACACAGACACGAGAGACCAGGAGAGGTAAGAAAGAAGAAAATAAACACAGAAATGAGAGATAGAATAGAAAAGACAGACAGATGGACAGAAGCAAAAGATCGAGGAAGAAGAGACAGAGATAGAAACAGGACAGGCAGAAAGAACAGAAGACAGACAGACAGACAAGCGGAAAAATTGAGCGAGAAAGAAATAAAGAATAAGATAAAGAAGACAACCGAAAGACAAAATGATAGACAAGCGGAGAAAGAGAAAAAGACAACGAAAAGACACAAAACCAGACATACGAAAGACAAAAAACAACAGCGAGACACACAACCGAAAGACAGAAAAAAACAGACAAACGAAAGCCAAAAAGATAGACAAACGAGACAAAAAAACACGACGAAACACACAGACAGACAGATACACAATGCAAAGACAAAAAGACACAACAATCCATACAACCAAAAAAGACCGAAACAACCAAACGAAAGACAAAAAAAAAAAAAAAAAAAACAGATACCAGACACAGACACACAACACCCCACGACCTCGAGACGACCCAGCAACGCCGCGCCCCCCCCCAAAAAAAAAAAAAAAAAAAAACGAAGACACAGAACAACGAAGCACAAAAAATCGATGTTTTCTCTCTAAGTGATATTGACTCCCCTCGAAGACTCCCTTTTATAACGTCCAGCCTTTGTTATGATTCCCTATAGCGACCTCTCCCGTGTGTCTTGTGTGTGTGCGCCGGAGTGTGTGTGCGTGGTGTGGGGTGGGTGGGTGGAGGGGGGAGAGGGAGGAAGGGCTTGTTTCGTATTTTTTTGTTGTTGTTGTTGTTGCTGTTGATATTGTTG